CCGGGCGAGGGCTGCAGCATCCTCTGGGTGCCGGGCGAGGGCTGCAGAGTCCACTGGGTGCCGGGCGAGGGCTGCAGAGTCCTCTGGGTGCCGGGCGAGGGCTGCATAATCCTTTGGGTGCCGGGCGAGGGCTGCAGCATTCTCTGAGTGCCGGGTGAGGGCTGCAGCATTCTCTGGGTGCTGGGTGAGGGCTACAGTGCCCTTTGGGTGCCAGGTGGGGGCTGCAGCGTCCCCTGGGTGCCAGGTGAGAGCTGCAGTGTCCTCTGTGTGCTGGGTGAGGGCCATGCCTCTAAGGAGGCTCCTCCCTGCTGCTCTACTCTTGGGCTCTGAGGACCCCCAGGGGTCCAGGAAGCCACGGCTGTGGGGGTTTCGAGGGAGAGCCTCTCCTCTGGAGTGGCTTTCAGACAAGATTCTGTATTCCTCCTGGCCCAGCGTCTCCGGCTCTCCCACTGTGCGGTCTCCAGGGCTCTGGGTGCCACCCGGTGCCAGTGTTTGTGTGGCAAGGCTCACAGCACTCCCTGCAGCTGCCATCTCCCTACAAGCTTCGATACCAGGTTTGGGCCGTTCATTTAATGAGGACAGTGGGTTCTCGCCAAAATCATGGCTGGTGATTTCCTCGGCCGCCTTCAGGGTCTGGGCGGACTCTGTTAGTCGTGGCCTGCTGTGCTTCTCCCTCGCGATGGGCATGTTCGTGCCCATCGGGGTGACACCCCCAGGCCCTATATACTCCTGGGATGGTGCTGCCAGCGATGTGGGGGCACCTGTTGGATTTCTTCTGGTCGGGGATGGCACTTGCTGGCCACTGGAGGCATGGCCAGTGTTTCCCCTCAGACGGTTCTGCCAGGCTGTGGGAGAATTTGCTGTGGAGCCCTTGTTCTGGACAGATACTTCATTTAATTCTTGTAACAGATGCATCTCATCTCTGAGCTCACAGGTCCTCTCTCCTGAAATATGCTCAGGATTCCTGGGACCATGTGAACTCTCAAAGCTGCCTTTGAGAATTCCCTTCCCACCAGCAGGATCTGTCCGGGTTCTCTGTGCCAGAGCCCTCTCTGAGACAGGGTGGCTGGCGCCTGCAGCTCCTCTCGCTGCCGGATGCAGAGCTGCTCGTGGTCCCTGTGGTGAGGAGGCACCGAGTCTCACCTGTGTCCCTGAAGGCTTGCTGGGTTCCACTGGGGCTCGGTTATCCCTTCTGTTCTCAGTCACGGTAGAAAATTCTGTGTGCGCCTTTTCAGCCTCGTTCTCTCCTCCAAAAATACGAGAACATTGGTTTTCACCACTTGATGCATTTTGCAGCGTGGTGGGAGAGGCAGGCATTTTGTGGACGACTGGGATTTGGACAGTTATCCGTGGAGGCTCCGTGCTGGGCTGTGTTGTCCTAGCAGCCTGGACCGATGGCGTGTTCAGGGGTGGGATGTGTTCTGGCACCTTCTGTTCTGGGAAATACTTCTGGGTGGCAAAGACGGGGTCTCTCCCAGGGTCTGGGAAGCCTGTTCCTTCCGTTTCATCTTCCGAGATGCAAACAGTCATGGTGATTTCAGGGCCCTCCCCTGCACCCTCGCCCGTGGGACGAGGACACCACATGATTGTGGCTCCCCTCACCTCCTGCACGTCGTCTGCAGTGCTCTTTGCCGGGGGACCCCACAGGCTGGCGGGTCCCAGTGGGCATGATGCAGGCACCAGGCCAGGACGGGCTTCGCCTGTGCGGGGAGCCCAAGAGGGGGCCAGTGAGGGGCCAGCGTGGCCGTCCCTCCGAGCTGTCACCTGGGGCGTCCCGGGCTTCAAGGGGCTCGGCCGTCTTTGGGGCTCCTCCTCCAAGGGCCCCTTTCCCGCTGCTTTGTTCCCACTGGGCCCCGTTTCCCCGGCACTGGGGGGCATGCTGGTCTCTGCCCTGGGCAGCCGCCTCGCCTCCGAGTGGCTGATTTTGGTGCAGTGGGACAGCCAGCTCCTGGGGCCGCAGACGACGGTGGCGACGCTGAGGGCCGGCAGCGGATCGGCGGTGCAGGCCAGGAAGCGGGCGGCGGGCGTCCTAACGCAGCTGCTGGCCATGGCAGCCGTGTGCAGCACGCGCACTTCCGGCCGGTGCATCCGCTTCCGCTGCAGGTTCCGCCTCTTCCGCTCCTCCGTGCGCAGCCGCAGTGCGCCGGCCTCGGAGCACAGGCAGCTGGCGTGCTCGAACCTCTCGCGGAGCTTGGCCAGCACCGAGCTCTTGCCCACCACCTTCGGCAGGAGGCCGCGGGCTCTGGGCCGCTCCGCCCGGGGCTTCTCTCGCGCGTCTTTCTCCTTCGCCTCCTTCTCCTCGGCGGCCAGGAACTTCTTGAGGATGCTCTTCACGGGGCTCTTCGCGGCCGGGTGGCCCCAGTGCGGCTTCTCGCTGGGGCGGGGCTTCGGGGCGGGCTCCTTGGTCTTCTCCAGGAGCTTGTTGATGGTGGCGCCCACGACGCCCCTGCCCGGCCCCTGCTTGTCCCTGCAGATCAGCCGGCCCACCTCCCGGGTCCTCTTGAGGCAGCGCTCCCGGCCGGGGCCCAGGAACTTGGCCTGCAGGAGCTGGAAGCGCGTGGGCCGCTGGGCGGCCTCCTGGGGCAGGGGCTGGGGCTGGGGCCGGGGCTGGGGCTGGCGGCCGGCCCTGCTCTCCGCGGCCTCGGTCCCCGGGGGCCGGTCCGCGCGGCCCGTGACGTAGAGCAGCAGGCTGCCCAGGATGGCGCGGGCGGCCGGGTCGCAGGCCATCTTGCCCATCTTCTTCTTCAGGGCCTGGGCGTCGGCGGACATGACGTCACTGCAGGTCTTGCTGCGCTTCGGGCTGCAGAAAAAAACGAATCGTCACTTGATTTTATCATCTTTGTTTTTCCAAGATGACTCCATAGAACATGTCTCAGGGGCCAATCCCATGTTCTCAGGGGCCCCAGGAGTCTGGTAGGGAGAAAAAGAGACGGGAACTAGGAGCTTTGGCTTCTGGGCTGTCCCTGCTGTTAACTCGGGGGTGTCAGGGGTGCCAAAGGTTTTCCGGGTCACTGTGTTCCTGTTAAATGTCAGGAACTTCTGACCCACGCTCCTCCGAAGGCCGTGAGGAGTTCACGTTGAACAGCTTTGTGAAAGCATTTCGAAAACCGCTTTGCATAGGCAACATATTTAAAAAAAATTTAACAAACACATTTTGCTTGTACAGTACGTAAAACAGCAAAGTATAAACAAACGTCTATTCTCTGTGTGGCCTGTGTATGTCTCTACCTTTAAGTAAGAGAGATAAAATTAACATCTTAAATTCTGCCATGATCCCGAGGACATGGGTCCCTACAGCAGAGCTTCTGAAGGTTCGGCAGACAGCTCAGGTCTGGGGTGAGTGGAGAGGGGAATGAATTTCTGCACAAGGTCCTGAGCAGGAACTATTACTGCAGTGGCCAGCGGCCCCCCAAGAGCAGGAGAGGGTGGGTCTCGATACAGAGAGAGAGGGAGGAGGGGGCTGTAGAGAGGAGAGGGTTGCAGAGAGGAAGGGAGGAGGACTGGGATCACCTGGCTGGGTCTCCAGAACCTCTTTCAAAATGGCTTTCATAATGGCTCAGAGGGCCCCTGGGGCTGAGCGCTGCCGCCCTTTCCCAGTGAGACTTTTTTTCTACAGGTCCACCAGGGATTCCTTCCCACCAGCCCAGCTTTCAAAGAGATGGAACCAAGCGGGTCCTGGCTGGAGAGATGGGGTCTTTGTGATTTGATTTGATGGTGTTTTCTGAGCCCAGGTGCAGGTTTTCTGCTCCTGAGCAGCCCTGACCACAGGAACAAAGCTGGAAGGTCCCCCTGTCTGTGGCGGGGGTGGAGCCATCTCTGACCTCTCCAGATGGTAATTTTGTGCAGAGGCACCCAGAATCTTAGCTGTCACACCTGTTATTCATTCTAAGGAGCTCATCAGAGATGAAGAACAGACTCAAGTATTTCAGGAAAAGGCACCTTCACGGTGCTGTTTATGATGTTGAAAAATCAAGAGCACCCTCAATGTCAAGCCAGGGCGGCTGCACAAGGGCACGTCCACGTTTGTGGGAGGAGAGTCGGCGGCCAGACGGGGCTGGTGACGTGGCACCAAGTGAAAAGCTCACTCTGATCCGATTTTTTCAAGAAGCTGAACAGGCTGAAAACAGAGTGGAAGGAAATGTGTGAACATACTTCTCTTTCTGTGTTTCTCTGCATTTTTTCCAAAAGAGAGCTCTGTTTTTGAAGCCATGGATGGATTTCCTTGTGAAAATCTGTTGCCAAGCAGCTGTGATGGGGGAGGTGACAGTAGCTGACCACGTGGCCGTGTTGCCGTGGGCACGCAGTGACCCAGGGCCAGGACAGACCGCACACGAAGGAGTGGCAGGGCCACAGATGGAACACAGGATCCCGATTTCTCAGCCTCTCTGAGATGCCTCCCTACCTGGGTCAGTGAGTTCCTGCGGCCAGAGTGTGTGCTGTTTGTCCACAGACCCCAGTGGGCACTGGTGCATCAAGAGGCCTTGCTGAGACCCGGATTTCGGGGCTGCACTGCCAACACCTCCCATCCACGGTCTGGGGCAGGGCCTGGGAATCTGCATTTTAAGGAGTTCCTCATGACTCCGATGCTGCTGGTCCCGGGACCCCACCAAGAACCACTGAGGCAGACGCTCCTTCCAAACCCACCGAGGAGGAGACACGGAAACAACTCTGAACCTGGGCAAGGGCACCACATGCAGTGGGCGGGGACAACTGTAAAAATAAACTAATCCAAGGAGCAGCTGTGCGTCCTGGCCAGGGACACCCTTGTTCTGAGTCGTCGGAGCCCACCCAGGAAGGCGCTGCTGTGTCCCCATGGCTGGTAAAGCCATCCCGGTGGCCCCAGAACTGCCCTGGCCAGCGGCTGCCCACACCCCCCTGAACCCAGAATGGATGGGTGCACCCTCCACCGCACTGTGGGGAAGGGGAGGGCAGAGGAGCAGCCGACCTCAGGGTTGGGGACCAGCCCGGGGCGTCCTGCTCCCATTAAAGGCTGCACCTGCACCCCCTGGCCATCACAGGGTCCGTGGCCCTACCTGCCTTCCACCAGGCGTCTCCGGGCACGTCCCCTTCGCTGTGATTCGGCTGCCTAAGGAGAGCTGTGCTCCTTTACCCGAGGAGGCTGATCTCAGGCTGTTGTCAACAGAGCCTGTCACGCGTTTTGTCCCCACTCACTGGGTGGTTCAGTCAACTTAGTGACTCTGCAGGTGAGTCATTCAGATGACTGAACCAGCCACACTGACCGCCTGAGGTGGGGACATTCTGATCATCTGAATACAAAGACCACAGGCTCAGCCGCATGTGACATCAATCTGCCACTTCTCACATCCCTCGCTGATGGCTCCTGAGCCCCACTGTCCAAATAGAAAGATGAAAAACAGCTGGAATTAAACTAGCTCATCCTCCTGCCTTGATAGGAAGCAAGTTTGGAAGGAGGAAAGTAAATGGAGCTTCACGCTGACTCTAAATTCCCACTTCCCTGACCTCAGGTGTCGGGCAGCTGGGCGATGGGACCACCACCCCCACTGGGAGCCCCGTATCCAGGCTGAGCACCTGTTCCGGCTGCTGCGGCTGTGTCGGGGGGACCCTCATAGGTTGCATGTCCTCCTCGTGAGTCATGGTGTCTGGGAATCCAGTTTAGCTCTCACATCACACAGCTAAGTCTGTAACCGCTTGTGAGGTCGGTGTCATCAGGACCTGGCCAGCAGCCCACAGAGTGAACGGCACACAGAGGTGACCTTGGAGGATGTACTAGGCCGCCCCGTCCAGCTCCTCAGCCGTCACAGCAGGCTTTCACTCCACAGCATGATCATCTGAGAAATGTTCTCACCCGCAGAGATCAGGATGCTCTTCTGGGTTTATCGCTGAGGATCAGGGAGTTCAGCCAGAGCTAGAAAGTCCTCTTTGAGGTGAGCCCTGCCTTGCTGTGGCTGTTGGAGGTGTCAGCGGTTCAGGACGACACCCTCGGCGGGAGAGAGAGAGGATTCCACAACCCCTTCACGGAGCCTTTGTGTTCGCAGTCATCATTAACTGAGGTCCTTCCTGGATCTGGCCTGGCCACTCCCCCGATCCCTGCTCTCCTGCCATCTAGCTGGGCTGCCCCTCCCCATCACAGGGACCTGTGCCCACCATCCACTATTGCGCTCACCCTCTCTGGTCCCACCCCTGGCAGTAGCCCCAGAGGAGCTGTGGTCTCTGGGTTCCTTGAACCTGCAGGCGGTTCCTTCCTCCGGGGTCTGCACGAGCTGTCCCCGCCTCTGTTCTGCCCTCTGGACTTCACTGGTCGGGACATTCTGGGCACCCATGGCCCACGGCTGTTGCTGGCACGTCCGGGTGTCTCTCACTGGTGACACCAGGTGTCACAGCACTCCTCATTTTCTAAGATCCAAGTGCACTTTTAAACAGGTCACCTGTTTTTTGCCCAGCTCCCCACCAGAGCACGGCCCCTCTGTCAGCAGGACCCATGCTGGTTTTGATCTCCACTTTCCCGAGGCCAGAGCAGTGCTGGGCACAGCAGGGTGGGCCAACAGTAGACCCGTGGGCGGCGAACAGCACCCTCGGATGCTCTGTTCACCCAACCCCAGCAGCATCCGTGGAAACTTGGTTCACCCACCCTCATCAGTGCCCACAGAGACTCAGTTCACTCACCCCAGCAGCACCCCATGGATGCTCAGTTCACCCACCCCCAGCAGCACCCACAGAGACCCGGTTCACCCACCCCCAGCAGTGCCCCGAGGAGACTCGGTTCACCCACCCCCAGCAGCACCCTCGGAGACTCGGTTCATCCACCCCCAGCAGCACCCACGGAGACTCGGTTCACCCGCCCCTAGCAGCACCCACGGAGACTCAGTTCACCCGCCCCAGCAGCACCCACGGAGACTCGGTTCACCCACCCCAGCAGCACCCACGGAGACTCGGTTCACCCGCCCCAGCAGCACCCTCAGAGACCCAGTTCACCCACCGCGCAACCCCCTTTCCCTCCTCGCTTTCCGGCCAGTTCCAGCCTCCACCCTGCCTGCCCTCTCCATGTCCAACCACACTTTGGCCTTCAGCCTGGAACAGCCTTGCTGCCTCCCTGACAAGCTCCTATTCATCCTTCACAACCCAGCTCAGACACTCCCTCCTCACGGAGCCTTTCCCAGAGGCCCATCTCTGCGACATCCAAAATTACCCACACAGACCTCTGTGTCCCCACAATGGGGAACAGCAAGGACGCCAAGAACACCCCTAAGTCACGGACTCAGAAAGGCCCCAGGACTTTTGGCCAACTTGCCCACAGGGCTCTGAGCGCCAGCTGAGGCGCACTGTGACTGGGGCTTCCCTCGTTGCCAGTCCCACAGTCCGGCAAAGGTCCCCCTCCCTCTGACCCACTCCCACCCCTGCTGCTGCCTGGTTGCTGAGTGAACATATCCCCACGTGCCTGAGCCCATGCTGCCCCTCGGGCCATCAGCCCCGCTCCTCAAAGCCTCCCACAAAGGCCCCTGGTCAGAGTTGAGCTTGGAGTCCGGCCACCTGGTGTGACCACTACGTGCCCAGCAGGCCTCCCTCAGCGTCCCCTTGGCACTTGGATGAGCTGCAGAGCCCGCAGAGAATGGAATGTCTTCCTCCCAGGGGCCAATATAAATAGCAGGGTGCCCGGCTTTCCTGATTTAGTTGTCGATGGCTCTGGCCAGCCACAGAGGTCGCTTGAAAATACAACGAGACCAGAGGCCACCACAGTGCAGGAGACACAGCCGGGCCCGCCATGGCATGAAGGCCCACCGTGGCATGGAGGCCCACCATGGCATGGACAGCAGCACCGAC